TATCGCTAAAGTTTCTTCGGAAAGAATTTTTACGGAAAATTAACTAACGACCAGAGACGTAACAATATATTAGTATCGGTTAACTGTTTACATCTGATTAGAGTGTTACAGAGGAAATTGAGGATATGACGAACATTTCTTAACAGACAGTATAATTGATAAGTTAAGAACATCTGGCCAGTATTCACAAAGAAATTTTACATTTGTTCTTTCTTGATGAAAGAGATAATCGTATTAATATTATTGGTCATTTTATCAAGCATGTAGGGGGGGGGGTGATCGGATGTTCAACAAGTACTCACCACGTGGTAGCCTCACCCAGTTGTAAGTTTTCATCCAGAACACCAAAAAGGCTTAAGCACTTAATGTGTAATGACACAGTAAATCAGTTTTGATCTCGAAGAAACTGTAATCAAAACCATTTTAATGCCTAACTATACATGTGACGATATCTCGATACTATACGTTGGGAGGATTGGTCAAAAAGCGTTAATTGTTTTTCAATTATAGTATAATAATAGCACAGAATAAGTAGTCAATGTTTAGATTAAACAACACTGATCAAATGTTACTTAATCCTGCAAATAAAATGTCACGATTTCCACTCTATTACTATTTAATCATAATTTTATTTCACAAATTAAAGTTTTGTCATATGCTGATTTTGTAGGTAGAGAGAGACTATATATAAACTTCAATATGGTTAAAGATATGCGAGGTGGATTTCATAAGGTGAGATACATGCCAAGAGTGGATTAGGTATGAAACTTTTTTTTTTTTTATTATGGTGAGTTTAAGGAGACTCGGAAGGACTCAATACACTTCGCTTGTAGAGCTTAACAACTTGAAAATAAGTTGAGAACAGCTTAATGGAATATTATGCTATTAAAGGATGAAAATAATAAGTTAATCACAGAACTCTCGGAAACAAGATAGCAACTGGAAAGAGTGAGGGTAAAAGTTGCTGTGGGGGGCGATGAGAATATGATTCTGTGTTTACAAGAGTAAAAAAAGTGATGACCAGACATACAGGTTCATTCAGTATTCAATTACTAGTCTCTAGTACATTTGAACTATTGACTATGTTTGATAAGGGAAAAGAGAAGAGCGAAATATTTACATAGTGGGGAATTTTCCCATTAAGAGTGTAGCACAGGTAGACTAAGACTAGATTTGCTTGCCAGGTGCTAAAGTAAAGCGTGTTGTCAGTTTAGTAGCTGGTACCAAGAAACACCTTTTTTGTTGTACGTGCTGGAGAAAATGGTATTGGAAACTATAAAATAAAATATATGTTTAAAAAGTATAAAGGACTCCTTCAGATATTTCGATATAGAAACAGGTGTGTAGGTCATTCGGAAGTGCTCCCTCAAGCCAGTTGTGAAAAAGAAATATTTAGCAAGATCTAAATCTTAAATAAAAGATTATCAGGTATATGCTTAGGGCAACAGGTAAGCTGGTTGGACATGTTGAGATACTTTTTAGGATAATGTTGAGTTATATATTACAGATGGCTCCACATAGGTAGGTTAGGCAGTAGGATGTTTGGGAAAGCTCTAAATATATTCATTAAACTATTTTAAGATAGTTTAAACTAAACTTGCAAAGTTGTGAGGAAGCTTGGGGCACTGGGAGTAAACAACTTAATAGGACAGGTTGAGCACTAGGAATTTGAAAAACAGAGAGATTTAGGGCATAATAAGTTTAACAAATTCTAAAGAAAAGTCTAATATTATTCTAATGTTAGGAATATTGGAATGAACACAGGCGAGCTCATGGCTCTAGATGAACCGAAAGACTATACAATGGGAATTACTGAAACTTGGTAAGATCTGGAGAATGTTAATCAAATGAATCATATAAACCCATGTTATAGGTTATTTAATAGTGATAGATTATGAATGAGAGTGTGGTGCCTCTTTATATAATGGATGAACTGCAGCCTGTTAAGATTGAAGACCTTATCGGTCAAAAGACCTGACGCAGTTTGATTTTATTCACATTATTAATATTCTGACTAAGTTCTTTCATTATTACATTCTCAGACCCCATAAACTTTTGAAAAAAACAAACAGTAAAGCGTGGAGGCCGGGTAGTGTCTTTTGTGAAGTGCACTTTTTTATAAACTACTAAGTAATCTGATTGCACTACATCAGTATTGTGTTGTACTGAACACATCAAATCAATGCCTTGAAAGTTTAATTGAGTTGAAAGTTAGACAGACAATGGTTTTGGATTTACATTTATTCACTGTAGTTTTTTAAAATATATTTGGTTATGTATTTCTAAAAAATGCACGCTTTTTCGATATAAATACAAAATGATACTAATTCCATCATGTTTGTGCAAGATGCTGTACTCTGACGGTACACTACCGACAATACTTCAATGTAGCAGTACTCTAGTATCAGCTGTACTGCAGTGTAGTCCCCGGCGAGACAGCGGTAAATTTATGGTCTTACAACACTAAAATCCAGGGTTAGATTCCCCGCGGTGGACACAGCAGATAGCACAATGCGGCTTTGCTCTAAAAACAAACACCCAGTGCAGTGTGACAATACCCTGCCAACAATGCTTTGGCGTAACATAAGCTACCAATAACTTCACAGTGTAAGTATACACTCGTGACAATTGTACGTAAATTGATACACTAACACTAACAGTATTGAGTTTAACCGCTTTATCGGTACCTACCAAAAATGTTGTGATGCCTACTAATGGTAAACTTCCAACAATGCTGTATTTGTCAGGGTACACTACTACTACTACTAACAGTAACAACCGTTACGTATAATAAATCGAAACAGAACGTATGGCTGAACTTACCGAATTTTCTTTTGTTTTCTTTTTTTTACAAACCCCCGATTTCGAGCCACAATGGGCAAATTAAGAGAAATGTGTAAAAACGTTCAGTTAGCTAGAATTTATATACCATAGAAGATTAGATAGTACTTGTTCACGTAAAAAAATAATAATTATACTACTAGTAGTACAATAGTCATTACATCAATAGCTATTTTGATTTGATTATTCTTTTTCTTCAACCACACCATCTGAAATGTAAGAGTTTAAATACTGATTAAGTGATTTTATCTTTTAGTTTTACAAATACAAATAACTAACATTCCATAAACAAATAATTGTTGGATATACAAGAATGTTTAGTGTTGGCGTTATTATTCAATTTATTTGTGAGTTAATACTTAATGATTGTTTGGTTTTCATAACAAGTGAGTAAAGAGATTTTAAAAGCAACAGTTATGACAAGTTTGGTTACACAACTCAGTAAGAGTCGTACGTTGTGTTTGCAATTACACTGTTGTCGAAGCTCTACTAATATTGTTGACGTTACATTACTATAACCTTCAGTATTTTTCTCCTTACCTTAACAGATCATTGTTAAATCAGTGCGTCGCGTACTTTAGAGAAAATTCCAGAGGCCTCAGTGAAAAAGGTATTTATATAAATGGCTCGCGAGTGAAAGTTAAGAAGGCAAGAGAAGTAGGGTAAAATAGAGAAAAATTCAATTGCGGTTCTGTCAGAAACTTAGTTAGTAAAAGAAAATGTGAAGTTAGGTGGCGTGTGAGTGACTAGCCATAACGAGCGATATTTTATAGTGAGTTTCAGAATTTGATGGAGATAAGAATAATTTTTCTTGTCAAAGGGTGTTCTAAAGTAATTGAACCCGCCTGTGTGGACTTTGACGAAAAGGAGACAATTATTTAAGGTTCAACTTCAAGGTACAACTGTGGTAACCCACAAGGTAACGCAAGTGAATTATTCACTGATATTATTCGGATACGAGTGAAAAAAAAATTAGTTTTTCTTGTCAATTGGATTCTAAAGTAATTGAATCAACCTAGGTCGACTTTTGACAAGAAAAAAGAACTATTTAGTTTGAGATACAACTGTGATATACATAGTGTAAATAATTTTTGTAAATACGTTTAACTTGTTTTGAATATATTATTTTAAAACAAGTGTGTGCTGTCCGTTTATTGTCGATTTTATCGCCAACAAGTCACAGACACCTACTGTAGAAGAATCGTCAGCCCATATATAAATAAAACCCTGACAATAATACTAAATAGTAAAAATACAATTAACCATAAGCCGGTTATTCTGTAACAATATTATAGTATTAGTACTACAAGTTGTTATTCATTAGATCAACTGACACTGTAACACGTCGTACTCACTCCAGCATTGTTGTACACATCCAACGACAACTGCCTCCCTTTTTCAAATGGATTTCCTGACGTTTGACAACAACACACTGGAACCGCATAAATCTCAACACTCTGAGAGGAGCTGAATCTTTCGCTTGACAACAGTTTTCCACAACGTTGACATGTAACTTTAGGCATGATTCAACACTTTCATTGTTTAAATCATCATCAACATTTTAAAGTCAAGCACAAATTTCAAACACATGGCATGTTATTTCGAGCGTCACATTAACAACTACTCAGACAAACCAAGTGATTATGAAACTCCCATGAATATATTTTAGACAATGGTACATTTACGTAAACAAGGAGAGGTGTGTCACTAAATGTAGTTTTTTTTGTTTTTTTTTCGGAAGGGGGATAAGGTAGGAGGTACAAATTCGAATTGAATTTATTATAATTCACTACAGTTGCACTCGACACAGAAACATGGTGCGTTTTTTGTTTAATAAGTTGACTTGTAGTATTATTATACTTAAGGTAACTGGATATAAAAGTTAAAAGAAATAGACTGATAAACTACTCTTCGAAAGAATAACTACGTATTTAATAAGCGTTCACGGTAAAATGACAAAGGCTAAACACTAGTACAAAGAACCAACCGGCCATAAACTACGCAAATTTTGGTCAAAAGAAATGTAGCTACAAAACTCACCACAAACAGCGGTTTCGAATCAGTGAGGTACTGTATGGAGAATTATTTTCCACGTTGGGAACGTCCCCATCTTGATCACAGATTATTAACACAACTTATGGAATCAGATCTCGTAACATTCCACCCTCACCAACCTAAAAACAACACGACTTCACACACAGCCTCATGCGTGCGCATACCTCAAACCGGACAAAAACGCCGGAACTTCTGACCAATAAAAAATAAGTTTACTGCCTTTTTTCCAACCAATAAGAGAGTCAGGCGCTCAACACGAAACATAATATGATGACATTTGCACATACAGTGTCTGCGGGTGGTGACTGGTATTATTATTATTATTTTTGCAAAGCTTATACACCAAAAGGTTTAATATTTATTTTGCTTTCTGATTTGTCGAAAGAGAAAAGGGCGTAGTAACGAAGGCTAGGTTGGTTTTTTTATTTAAAAAAAAAGGGCGGTTTACATGAAAAATTAAAACGAAAAAAAAAAGGTGAAAAATAACCCAAGAGCCCAATATTTTATCATATCAAGTTTAATTTTTTTGCATAAATGTGTTAATTTTTTAATTCTGATTAAGAAGTTAGCACATAGGATACATACAAAAGTTGTAATGTTTTTCAAACGAGACCCAAAACTCGAGCGCTTTCGAATAGTTCACTATTCTTCTTCAGGAAGAAGAATACTGAACTATCAAAAATCCTGAAGAAGAATAATGAACTATTCGAAAGCACTCGGGTTTGGGGTCTCATTAAAAACTATTAATTTTTGAATGACAGATGTTGTACATTATACTTTCTCTGCAACTTGCAGTACTGCATAACTTCAAAGTCCAGTGTGAAATCTGCTGTACGAATTTTACACATTGATTAAGAAATAATTGTGCATGTGTGCATTGTATTATTCTGCGCAAGCAGTGGTGAGGAAAAGAGGTAGAGATCGTCTGTTACGCGTATGTTTTTGCAGTCGTGTGCAGAAATACAATTACGTATGTACGTATGCCTCAGTGGCACAGCAGACTTACAACGCTAGAATCCGGGTTTCGATACCCGTGGTATAATAAATAAAATACATTTTTTATGAATACTTATTTCTTTCTCTTTGCCACCTCAATATATTTCTTGGATCGACGCCTCTGTTTATTCACCTCCATTTATAATGTTCTTTCAAACCATAAAATACAAAGATTTTGTTTATACAATCCAAGTTTAATCTTATGTGAAAATTTTTTTTCGTGTTGTTTCGAGATTCACCTATATTTAAGAGGTTTAGTTTCACTACAACATAACTGGTTACTTTCTTGGCATACTGCCAGCATTATTTAAAATTTAACCTTAAAATACAGTAACGTTTACATCTGATATCTCGTTACGTAAACAAACACACAAATTCATCTTATTTGATTATTAATTTATGAAACCTCTGCTATTCAGACAACATTAAAATCAAACTGTTCGTCTAAAGGAATTTCCCGAGTTTTGGACTTGGAAAAAAAAAAAGTCTTCCGCCGTATTTATCTAATCTTCTGTTGCGTCATCGAGGTCACGTGACTGGTGTGGCGCCACCTATTTTCTAGAACTATCCTGTACCT